AACCTAACACTGTATACGTAAAATACTCGATGAGACCGATCATTTTTCCGATATATTCGGTGAATTAGCAGTGCTACTTGTTAAGCTATAACAGGATTTATTTCTGTTATAGAAACAACGCTGGAGAAAACGGGGCATTGCTCTGGTACCGATGATCTACCCGTTCCCGATGTGGGGCAACTACTCTGCGATTGTATCAATATACGCCCAAGATGGAACTGTAGCAGTCGCTCATGGTGGAGTTGAAATGGGTCAAGGTATAAACACCAAGGTCAGGCTGTTTAAATCTGCTGCTTCAATGTCACAAATAAGACATCCAAATAATAAATGACAAAGCACATAGACGAAAAACGCGACCTATAATCCACACTTTTGTATACCTTGAACATCTACAAGACATCGTTCGGAAATTAGGTCTCTACAGAGGGAAAGAATTTGTGCACAATCTCTGCATAGTGCGAGTCCCTCTACAAAAACAAATGGCAAAATTTGAAACAACAAATATTGCATGACTGTAAATGGTGTTGCAGAATCAGGAAACTATTTTAAAGATTATTCACGCAAATGTCTTTTCTTACAAAATAAGGGAAGTACATAAATTGTCTCTGTGTAGAGAGTCTCAATCATTGCGACATAATATGATCCATCCTCACTCCTCCATGACGTAACTATGCTTGTTCCTGCAAGTACTGTCAGGTCAGAGTGAGTAATCGCCGTTTAGGTTAGGTTAGTTTAGGTGAGGTTAAGTTAGATTAGTTTAGGTTAAGTTAGATTAGATTAGGTTAGGTTAGTTTAGGTTAGGTTTAGTTAGTTTAGGTTAGGTTAATTTAGGTAGTTTAGGTTAGGTTAGTTTAGGTTTAGTTAGTTTAGGTTTTAATTTAGGTAGTTTAGGTTAGGTTAGTTTAGGTTAGGTTACGTTAGGTTTAGTTAGTTTAGGTTAGGTTAATTTAGGTAGTTTAGGTTAGGTTAGTTTAGGTTAGGTTACGTTAGGTTTAGTTAGTTTAGGTTAGGTTAATTTAGGTAGTTTAGGTTAGGTTAGTTTAGGCTAGGTTACGTTAGGTTAGGTTAGGTTAGGTTAGTTTAGGTAGTTTAGGTTAGGTTTAGTTAGTTTAGGTTAGGTTAGCAGTTTGCCATGTGATGCCAGAGCCACATCAAGCTTTGGATGATGCTGTTAGTTTTTGTGATTCAGTTGACTTACTGTTCTACAATTGTTTCACAGTGATGAGTCTGAAGAATGCTGTCTTCTGGGTTGTTGCACCATGTAGTCTGTTAGAAGTTCACCAACGTTTCAGAGGTCATACTGCCTCAATTATCAGGGTGATTGCCCTGATGACAGAGGCAGTATGACCTCTCAAACGTTGGTGAACTTCTAACAGACTACATGGTGCAACAACCCAGAAGACAGCAATCCACTTTCCATGATATCTGACAGTCACTCATGTTAACCTTTATCATATGAGAATTAAACCCCTGTATTACGCAAATGCTGGAGAAACTTTAACTCGGGTTAATGGTTGAGCGGCATTACACTGCAGTGGACAGTCAACTGAATTGCATGTAATCCACAATCCATGGATGAAAAAGGTTAAATTTTTACAATTACAAATTCTAAATGTACAGAAGAGTTTGTGTGTTTTCAGCTAGATGGAAACATTATGATTTCAGGTAGCTCAAGTGGTGGCCCACACTCTGAACATTCCCTTGGAACTTGTGAGTGTAAAGCCAAGTAACAACGTGACCGCTCCGAATGGCATGGCTTCTGGAGGTAGCATCACTAGCGAAGCCTGTGCATATGTAAGCGCTCAACTATGTTAACATTATATTTTATTTTACATTTGTCTCTTTAGTTACTGAAGTTAAGATTGCAGACATTTATCCACATAACGCAGAAACTGACCAGATAGTAAAATATCTGCATGTCAGTACCAATCCTCCACATATGTGCTTACAATTACAATCAACTGCAAAGAAATCGCAGCTAAACACAAGATGCCATAAGCCGAGACTAATCCAAGACCCTACGACATTAAAGAAAGTAAGTTCAGTTTTCTACCATAAAAATTACATTAAATGGAATTATTTATTCTTCTGCAAATTTAACACAAAGTTTGGGGAATGTTTTACATGTCTAGGGTCTTTGGATACTAGCACTTAAAAGGTTAATATTACTTCTTTAAGCAGAATCTTACCAACCAAAAACCGGGCAAGCACATTCCAGGATGGAGGTAATATATAAGATGTGAAAGGCTTCTTTGTGTCAATGGACGATGACAAGAGGATGGAGTTGGAGGTTATTTGGACGATGAGTACAATTCCTCATCAATGTAATTTAAAGGTGCAAATTTCATATAAAATGTACAAAGTGAAGCTTTCGCGACGACTGAAGTTGATGAAAGGCTCTCAGGTTGGCAGAAGACCTGGTTTATTCACCATTCAGCCACCTGATATGTCTTGTAACCCGAAAGTCTTTCATCGACTTCATTTAAAACATTAGAATGTGTGAACATCATTATAACCCCAACAGAATCCACCTTTTTGAGATTATTTGGTTGCAGTGCAGATTTATAATATGCTTATAATTTCATAAAATCTGTACATATTCAAGCACACGAATTACCTGGGTGACAAAGGTATCGTTTTTAAAATTAATTACATTTTCTGTATCTGAGGGTAAGTAAGGGAGACTGGATGATAAAGATTGAATGTGAGAGAAATGCAAAATGAATGAAAGCAAATGAGAAAATGAAAGATTTTGAACATACAAAAAGAAATGAGATAAAGAGAAAATTGTAAAAGAAAACAGTAACTATAAAACAAACAGTGGATAGAGCTAGGTGGAGTATGAGTGTCATTAATGAGAATGGTCTAGCTAGGCAACAGATAGGTTATGCGAGCTCCTTCAAATTCTCTTACTACACCTTCCTCTTGCTCTGTCCCTTTTACATTCTCCTTGCACTCTTGAGCATGCTTAAACTTCCTCTCTTTTAAAAATTATCATTTCTGTTCTTGAATAAAATAAATTCAAAGGACATACATTTCTGTTTGCATCAAGGCTGCCATGATTTGCTGCAAAGAGCTTCTAGAACGCATGGAACCAGCAAAAGAGGGCCTGAAGAATCCAACATGGCAACACTGGACTCTAGCCGCTTACCAACAAAACATCGATATGTGCGCCACCCACATGTAAGTCGCAAAACCACTGCTTGATTTACATGTACCCATCAGAAACTTTGGGAGTTTTTATATCGAGTGGCGTAGGTGTGAAGTCACATTTTTCTGTAGCACTTTGGAAGAGTAAACTTCTTTTCTGCATGGTCCAGTCACACACATTGTAAACATCTGTGTGTAGATTGGGATGTGTATTCATTCCACTAACCACTCTCCTGGCATTGACCACAGGATAAGACACGGAAAGCAAAGACATTGTCCATACCATCGCAAATGACAAGTAAGATAGTTGCAGCGATCTGCTACAGATGGCATAAGTGTGTAGTGACATATGACAGAGACCTCTGATGATGAAACCAAAAGCACCGATCTGTCGAAAACATGGCAACACTGCAGTTACTTTTTGTGGTTATCCTCCCGTTGACATTTGAAGTTTAAGGTGTCATTAACAATTACAGAGGTGATTATTCCTAAACAAGACAATGAAAATTTTGACGTCAATTCAGCAGTTTTATGGTTCACAGAAACAGCAAACATTGTATGTTGTTTTTTTTTTCAGTTTATTACAGTGTGTTAAATATTTCCACATTTAGGTTTACATCAAAAGACGATGTGAAGCCATACGACATTTACGGAGTGACAATTGGAGAGGTTGAGGTAGACTTACTGACTGGTCAGCATCAGGTAAGCAACGGAACTGTGCGTTAGTATTGAATGTATCCTTACACAGACAGAGGCACAAACTATGAAATGACAAAAGAGATGGAACCTCAGCTAAATGAACTAAAAGCAGACTGAACAAATTACCTACTTAGAGGATTCACTATTAGTAAGTTCAGTAAACTGAAATGATAACAGCTCAGTGGAAACATTATTGAAAAAGGTCGCCCACAGCACCAAAGCATGCAAATTTGGGAATTTTTAAAACCGATTTTAGGAAAATCAACTGTGACCATGTGAATGGAACTGGAGTAACTCAGCCCAATGGGTGAACAAATCTTTGAGACTCCATATTGGAACATTTCTCGATTATCTGCGAAATCTATCGGTTTCTCAGAAAATCCCATGTAACCAGGAGTCGCTTGGATAATTGTAAATTGACAGACAAGAAGCTTTCACTGTTACTACATGAATATTTGTCCAAGGACCCAACTATGGCATTAGACAGAGGTGAGCTGTGGCCTTAGTGTTGCGTCAGATATCAACCCCTGGATGAAGGCTCTCATTGTACATGTTTTCAAAAAAAATCTCTAATGCCTCTGCTCGGAACTGAACCCCAGCCATGTAGAATGTGAGTGAGTGTGTGCAGGTATTTTGTCCTACTGCGCACGAATGAAGCAACGCTATCTATCTGCAGTGGCTAAATAACTTCTTACCATTGACAGCTGAAAGAATATTGCCATAGAAATTGAAGTTGATCTACATAGTATTTTAAACCTGTCTAAAGTCTGGCATTTACATTATATTAAAATTCTGCATGTGCGTATGAATTGTATTAATGTGAATTCAATTTGGGTAAAACTTCTTTTAAACTTCACACCTCCATTTATGACACGCTATGTTTGCAGCGTATATGTTACTGGCAAACTATGAAATCCAGCAATGTATAGAATGCCTAAAGTCAGTAGGCAAAATATGAAATTCAATCATTCTATGGAATGTCCAGGCATTTTGTAAAATACCAAGGACTTTTAGGAAATTTTTATACTTTGCCTAGATATTCTATAGAATACCTAGAAATTTTATAAAATGCCTCAAATTCTTTAAGCAAATTACTCGTATATAAGAAAGAAGTTCCTATAATACGATTTATACATTTTTATTTTATCTTTTATATTTGCAAAAATTTAATATAAAACAATTTTTTAATTCTCAAAATTTTTGTTACGTTCAAATTCAGTAGCTTGGTGTTTTCGAGACTATTTTGACAGCTTACCCAATCGACTTTGATTAATTTTAATTAACGCAACCAAACAATATTAACATTACGATTTATTTCATAATTTGCCTACTGACATTACGTATTCTATGCATTGCTAGTAACATATACATTTTAATAAATATTAATACACAGAGTGATCTATGTTTCACATTTGAAATTAAAATGTTTCACAGTACTGATAAAATTTTACTAGCCTAAGTAAATTTAATGCTGTCTGTTGTATTCTTAGATTCTACGTGTGGACATCCTTGAAGATGCCGGTGAGAGTCTCAGTCCAGAAGTTGATGTTGGTCAGATTGAGGGAGCATTTGTCATGGGGTTAGGATACTGGCTCATGGAATATCTCACATTCTCTCCAGAAACAGGGGAACTACTGACAAACAGAACTTGGGTAGGCCACCTTCCCTTCTAATTCTACGCTTGTCGGCATTACTGAATGTTACACCCGTTACGTCTTCCAGCGATTAAACAACTGTTGTATCACTAGTAACAATAATGCAATTATATAATTAAATATAAAGACTTCAGAAAGAACTTTCAGTAAAGAATATAAACCACAGTCTGATATTTCTAATCTTTGAATGAAGCGTTAGATGAAATGTGGCCTACTAGAGACCGGCTCTGGGGCCCACCCAGCCTCGTATCCAATGGGTACTGGGATCCTTCCCTGGGGGTAAGGCGCAGCCAGGGTGTGATGCCGACCACTACCCATCTAGTGCCGAGGTCAAGAATGAGTAGGAGCTATACCATCCCCCCCCAAAGCGCCTACATGGCGTATAGTGGGACAGCTTTACTTTTTTTAATTAAAATTTTTAATTGGAAGAATGGGAATCTTTAAATAACCTGGCTATAGTTTTAAACAGTTAGAACATTTCAGAAATTTGGACTGCAAATAAACGTGACAAATAAGATGATGTACGAGGTGCGATCGGAAAGTTTCAAGACTGCGCCTATAAAAACCCGTACACTTATCTCAGGTATTAAATTCATCCATCACCCTCGAAGTAGTTCCCC